GTATAAAAGAAAAAAATGAAGAAGCGTGGGAGGTCTTTCCCAACATGTTCTAATCCCACAGGTCTCGTATGGGGCCCAGGAAACTGTATTTTTAAAAAGCACACACCCCATTCCACTCCAGGTGATTCTCAGGTAAGTTGTCCAAAGACCACACTTTGAGAAAAACTGCCTTAGAGTATAGGTGCCTTCCTTCCTCCCCACCTCCGCCTCCTGGTGGATCTGCATTTAATTTTCTTATTTGTCCTCTGGGTCAACTGTTGCCAGTTAACTTGGTTTGCTAGCACATAGGAGAATTCTTTTATACCAGTGAAAATTAACTAGCAAAAGCTAGTTCTGCTGGAGCTGCACCCATTTAGCCATCTCAAAGCCCTGAATTCTGACTAACTCTAGCCCATCATCTTGCCAACGTGAGCACAAGGTCTATGTGACAGCGAGTACAACGATCATTGCGAAGACCTCCGCAGGAGGAAAGTTCCATAAAACACACGCTCTGCTGGATAGCAGGTCTATCAACATCAGACACTCATTTATTCATCTACTGACCATCTATGTCAAGAACTATGGTTCTAGAAAACAGAGAATAAAACTAAACAAGCCACAATACTTTCAACCCTCAGGCAGGCTGTAATCGAGGCAGGAGAGTAAAACATCTGCACACTTATCTTTGAATAAAAGGCACTTTGTATCACCGAGGTGGTTCTCCATCGAGTTCAGCTGCTGATTTCTATTTCCATTCTCCTGAAGTTGCTTAAAGTAACACAGGGATCAGATAATGGGAGAAAAGCCAGAGCAAAGAAGATAAAGCAGGAAGAGGCCATCTGCTGGCAGTTTTCTTCCCGTCCACTTCTTCCCTGTTCGTGTTTGCTTGACTCTTCTGTGAATTCTGAAAACTTTGTGTAAGTGCATCTTCGCTATATCACTTTAGCCCCATCCAAAAAAGTGTGGTGAGCAAGCGTCCTGTGCCAGGCACTGTGCGCAGCCCCAGTAATGGGAAAGGAATAAATAGGACCTCTGAGGTCAATCAGGCAGGAATACTCTTGCTAGGACAATTTGTTAGTGTTTTCTCTCTGCCCCAAATCTTTATGACTCTAACTCATAAGACCTTTTGAATAATGGCATCATTTAATTTGTACATAAGCCTAATGGCGTTATTACCCCATTTATAATGAAGACACCGAGGCTTGGGGAGGTCAAATAATTTTCTGGCATCACATAGCTGGTGTTAGAGAAGAGAATGAAGCCCAGTCTGATTCAAAAGTTCTCAGACTCCACTTCTGTGCATGTTGCAATTCTTGTTTTCTGTAAATTTACTATATGCCAGGTACAGTACTAGACAGAGATTATGTTAACACAGTGTAAGGAGTTCTGTAATGACAACCCCTTAACTGATGATAAAACAGTGGTTCTCAAGCAGAGGCAATTCTGTAACTCTCACCCACCAGGGATATTAGTCAATGTTTGGAGATATTTTTGTTAGGAGCAGAGCATGCATGGGCAGGGAGGGGGACAATGAGCCTGGAGAGGTGGCAGGGCCAGGAGGGAGAGCAAACCTGTGTGCCAGGCTGAGGAGCATGCCTTCATCCCACTGAGGGAAGTGGCATAGGTAGGGGCCAGAGTGAGGCGAGGACTGGAGGCAGAGAGGCCATTCCAATGAGGGCAATCCAGGGAGCAGGATCTGTCTGTGCAAATGGAAGCAGGAAGACGCACAAAATATGGCAGACATGGAATCAACTCGTTTGGGCCACTTAGTGGGGTGAAGGAGAGGGAGGGGCCCAGGTCCCGGTTTATAGTGTAGGAGACTGGGAAATGCTGAAGTGAAACAGCAGAAACTGCCAGAGCAGGTAAGCTGGTTACTCAAGAGGAGTCTCACGTTGGCCTCTGTATTGTTTCATTCAACCAACAACAAGTAGTGATGAGTACGATACAGAGGGCTTATTTTCATAGATCTAGAACCTGAATCTACAAATTTATCTACAAAGGCATGTCGCCCTCTTTCTTGGGGCTACAGGAGTTTGCGGGAAAGGGGAACCCAGCCATTCCTCAGGACTCTTCTACCATTCTTTCTTCTACCATTCTTTCCTCTTCCCTTCTCTACAGGTTTCTCGAAAGGGTAGTTTACAACCCTTGGTTCCAATTCCCGTAGCCCCTGAAAATTTTTTTTCCCCAACACATTACTGAGCTGACCTTCCCAAGGTTATTGCTGATCCCAGCACTGAAACCCAATGGCTTTCTTCAAGCTTCATCTCCTGCAACTAGTTTGCAGTGTTTGACGCTTTCAACCTTGCCCTTTCTCCTTGAACTGCTTGTCTCCCTTGGTTTCCACAGCACTGACTTTCTTGATTCTCTCACCAGCACTTCTCGAACTCTCTTAGGGCCCAAAACGGAATCTCTCCAAGACACCACCTTTGACCTTCTTCTTATCTTTTTTTCACTCTCTTCCTTTGGAAACCTCATGACTCTTCATTATCTCTCTTAAATAAGCTCAAATACAATGTATACGCAGTTCTTGTCCTGTCTTTTCTCCCAATGTCCAGTTCCCTGTCTCCTCAGGGAGATTATGCCAATGCCTTTAGCTGAGAAATTCAATGGAGTGGACTGAGCACTAACTCCACTGTTTGCCCTCTGTGTTGCCCTGGGTGTGGTGCTTAGGGCCCCTGAGCCCCAATTAGCCAACATGTTAAATGAGATAATGGGCATGAAATAACTATTAGAGATAGAATGGCTATAACCAAAAAAGTAGTCAATAACAAATTTTGGTGAAGATAAGGAGGAACTGAAGTCTTCATACATTGCTCATGGACATGTAAGACAGTACAACCACTTTGGAAAACAGGTTGAAAATTTCATAAAGAGTTAGACATAAATTTATCATATGACCCAGCAATTTCACTCCTAGGTATTCTCCCAAGAGAAATGAAAATATACATCCCTACAGAGATTGTCTATGAATGTTTTCAGCAGCACCATTCATAGTAGCCAAAAAGTAGAACCAACGTAAATGTCCATTAACTGTTGAATGGACAAAAAAAGTGGTGTGTCCATACAATGATATATCACTCAGCAATAAAAAGAAGAGAAGTACTGATACATGTTACAACATTGATGAACCTCAAAAACGTTATACTAATTGAAAGAAACAAAATTCAAAAGACTACATACATATTGTACAGTTGCATTTGTATGAAATGTCCCCAAATGGAAAATTCATCAAGACAAAATACGGACTAGTGGTTGCCTGGTGGGGATGGAACAGAGATGGACTGTGAACACCCAGGGATCTTTTTGAAGTGATGCAAATATTTTAAACTGGGTGTGGCAATGTTTGTGCAGCTCTGATTTATCAAAAATCATTGATTATACACTTAGAATGGGTGAATTTCACATTATGAAAATTATATCTTTTTTTAATGATTATTTAGTGATAGTTTTATCTTCTGGATAATACTCATACTTGATGCTTCACTGTTAATTAATATCATTAGCTCAGTTCTTGCCTAAGTCATTACAATTTCTCAATTATTGTTATAAAATAAATAACTCAATTAGACTTTAAAACACACAATTATACACAGAATTCTAATAACTGTCAAAGTTAACAGATGAGACACAATAGAATTGACTATTATTGTCTATATTTTTGTTCTCATTGTAATATGACAAGCCACTAAAACTCTAAAAATAATTCTAGGGGCTTGCCCCATGGCTGAGTAGTTAAGTTCGTGTGCTCCGCTTTGGTGGCCCAGGGTTTCGCTGGTTCGGATCCTGGGTGTGGACCTAGCACTGCTCATCAGGCCATGCTGAGGCGGCGTCCCACACAGCAGAGCCAGAAGGATCTACAACTAGAATATACAGCTATGTACTGGGGGGCTTTGGAGAGAAGGAAAAAAAAAAGATTGACAACAGATGTTGGCTCAGGTGCCAATCTTTAGGAAAAAAAAGAAATAGAAAGGGCAAAAAATAATTATAATAATTCTAACCTCATAAACTTTGAACTTAATATAATTATATTCACATGACATAAAGGATTTATTTTAAATACAAGCAGAAACCAAATATATGCACAAATTTAGACAATATTCATGGCTTAGAGCATATTAAAGAAGATTATTAATAAAATATTCCAGGCAACATTTTAAAGAATCCAAGACTTAAATCATTACTTGGCTTGTTCTTGATATTTAAATAATTATTGAGTGCACAGTCTTAAATGTTTCTCCTCATCATTGGCATATATTAGACATAGAGGTTTTCGTTTTATATGTTAAATTACCCCAACTTTGATTACAAATCACCATAGCATCATTCAGTGAGCGCTGACTGTCCAGTTGGTAAAACTGGAACGCGCTCCTTTATCTGTGTTTTATAACAGCTAGTGGCCGCGAAAAAGAAGCTATTTGCTTTTGCTCTGCCTATGCTGAGGAAGGAAGCTGTGATCTGAGTAAAAGAGGCAGAAGAGCCGGGCACTCCCTCCTTTGGGGCATTTATCATGACAGCGGCCTCCAGATGGGCAGAGCTGGCAGCTTCCTTGCGGCCCCTGTGAACTGCATGATCTCATGCCTTTCTGAGCCCGGGGACAGCACTGAGGGGCTTTATTTGCACTGCACCTGCCCCGTGAGCAACAGCATTGATTTCTGCTCCCAGAAACCCTCAATAAGTGGAACCATTCACTGGGTAAGCGGCCCTGTTTATCACCCGGGAAGAGGGGTCCAGGTTCTCTGCCTCTCATCCAAGTGATGGAACTTTTATCTTTATTTTTCAGTGTATCTATTTTTGTAAAATACTGAGGAGACCAGGAGCCCACATACAGCCTTTAGTTCTAGATCTACGCAGAATGATGCAGCCTAATATTTAATTATTAAAAAAGAAAAAGATAATGCATTATTAGTCTGCTCCTGCCCACTGACTCGTAGTAAATTTCTCATAACCTAAAGAAGCAAGTCAAAGGAAAGCATTAAGATGACACTTTCTCCTCTGTTCTTTACTGGAAATTTTCTTTCCCTTTTTTTTTTTTTTTTTTTTTGGTTTTCGTTTTTGTTTTGGTAGTTTTAGTTAATTAACCATAGCAGATGGTCATTATAATCCAAAGAACAGAGAACCAGAAGGGACTTTATAAAATCAGCTTACCCCTGACTTAGTTAAGTTCAGACCTTCTCAGAGGGATAATTTTTTATTCCCTCTGCAAAGATCTCTAAGGGAAGAACCTTCCCAAATTCACTTCCTAGAATGCTCATGACTGATGCTCCCAACTGTTTCTGTGTCTAACTGAACCTGCATCTCTTCCTGTCTTTCTGGACAAGTGGAACAGCCCCTCAACCTCTGCCTCCTACAGAACCTTCACAATTCCGAGCATAGTCAACACGTCTCTTTGTGGCAAAGAGATTCCAAGTGACTGGCCTTCTGGATAACTGTTCTTTAATTATTACAAAATTACACACTTAAGAATTGAAAAGCATGGGAAAGACTGCCTGCTCCCACTTCCTCACTATGTAGGAATCTATCTACATATTCTCAACAGCTACAACCTCTACTTAAACAGTCCCGGAGATGGGGGATTCACTACATCAGAAGACAAAGGTCTGCTGTGGGGCAGCCGGTATTGTCAATAAATCCGTAAATTAAAATGTCCTTCGTTGAGCAAAGTTTGCCTCCCAGTGACTTCCACTGGATTCCAAATGGTCTTTCCAGAAAGAGATGGGACAAACAGGAGCCTCTTTCTCATTGACCTCCAGATAGTTGACAATACTTATGTCTTCTTGCCTCCATGCATACAGCAACCCTGGATAAACAGACATTCCGATTACACACACTGCATCACACTTCGCTTCATATCAGAGGACTGCATTACACTTTAATCTCTAATATTGTGGCTCTCATTTGCATTTACATTGCAATAAAACTACATAAATACCAAAAATCACAGTTAAAAAGCTATATGTGTAACTTAAGTACATAAATGATAAAATATAAATACATTAAATAAAGCAAAAAAAATCTCCACTTGAAAAGTAGAAACTCTACCATAGTTTACATCAGTTGTCTCCAAAATGGGGTACCCCCAAAATCATCCTTTATAGTGCAGGAAGAGAAATATAATTTCTATTGATATTTCTTACTCTAAAAAGTAGCAAAGGGTGGCTGACCCTCTGGCTTAGTAGTTAGTTTCAGCACGCTCCACTTCAGCAACCCCGGTTGGCAGGTCCAGATCCCAGGTGTGGACCTACACCACTCATCAGCCATGCTGTGGCAGTGACCCACATATAAATCGGAGGAAGTTTGGCATAGATGCTAGCTCAGGGCTACTCTTCTTCAAGCAAAAAAAAGAAGAAGATTGGCAACAGATGCTAGCTCAGGGCGAATCATCCTCAGCAAAAACAAAAGATAAGAAAGGAACTAAGCCCTAATGATATTTATTACATGAAGTAGTACATGTGTTTACTTTATAAATAAACGTGCATAGGCTGGTGGTACAAGCTCAGATTTCCTTAATTGTAAGGATACACTATCAAAAATGTCTGGGGACCTCTGGCTTAAACCGTGTTCATTACCTACTAATTCACTATCTACTTGCAAAATTCTGTAAGGAATGTGGAAGGATATTAGTGTCCTACAACATACCAGAGAGCTCTCACAAGGTAGTCTAAGATTGTGTCAACAACAACAATGAAAATCAAGAATGGATTTTAATGTCTTTTTAATTACATTAGCTGTTTAAATAAGTAAATCAAATAGATATAGTTTGTCTAGAGCCCTCCAAAGTAAGACAAATGGAAATAAAGTTTAGTTAATATCCTCACAAAAAATAAATAGTCAAAGGTGCATACTGACTTAATCAAATTAGAAATCATTGATTTGACTCTTCTATTTAACATTCTTGTTGCTGTTATAAGAGTTACCTGAGTTAAGATAATGTTTTTTAATAGAGATTGTTGGCAATGATTATTTAGGGATAACTTTTATCTTTTCTGGAGCAATGTGCATAAAGCAGACATAGACTGTTTCACAGATATTACACATCTATGCCATGGGACTTTTCTTCATTGTCCTGAATAAAGTGCTAATGTTTTATATCTTTCACCATCTTTAAAATGGAGACAGTGGCATGAAGGTACAAAGAAACATCTGGTGTAAAAGAAGAAAGCAACAAAACCCAAAAATTTAGGAAATCAAGGAAATGAACGTAAAAATTTTGAGGTAGAAACCTTATGGAGGGGTGAGCCAGGTACAGTTATTTGAAAAATATTTGTACTCTCAGTTTGCCAGCTACATTTACACACAGTAATGGCAGTAATATTGCAGCAAATCATCCTCAAAATAGAGCAGTTCGCTGTGATAGGCAGGAAAAAGAAATACTTGAGAATCACATTACTTAACTATTCAGTGGATTTGCAGCACTTCTTACTTAAAGAATAACACACACACACACAGTGACACAAAAAACCAAAGCGCTGAACAGCTACATGCTTGTTATCTCTGAGTTTTAAAAGACAGGCTGTTGTTACTGGAACTGATGAATAATAGGTGATAATTGCCCTTATTCCATATGTATTTTAACAAATGGTCAGCAACTTCCCTTTTGTACATGATTACTGAGATGCATTGCTTCCCTCTCCATTTCCCTCTGAGACCTCTCACAGAGCAGTGAGGAAGCAGAGCACCGGGCCCCAGACAAAGCAGAATCCTGAGGGTGCTAACATGCTCAAGAGTATTAGCCATCTTTGCCATCCTCCTTTTTCGAATTCCCCTCAAAGTCTGACGAACAAACATTGCCCAGCGCCAATGTGCCCGCTGCCCGGAAATTCTCTGATGAAACTGCCTGATTTGAATCCTAACGAGAAAACCAAAGGACTCCAGCTCAGACTCCAGGGGAAGATGAATAACAGAAATGGCCTTCTCCCCCGGAAAAAGAAAATCTAATTATATGTGTATAGATTTTTTTAAAGGTTGGCACTGAATACTCAGAAATATATTAGAATCATATTTACCCTCAATAGGAAAATTGAAAAGGAAATAATATTCTGAGACAAAAGGCCAACTGTCAAACTCAGAGACGGTGACAGTAACAAAACATGGGCATGTGATAAAAGTGTATCCATAAAATGCTGACAGTGTCTTTCTCATCAGACATGTAGGCAGAGTTTAGAAGCTAAAACCCATCATCCTTTCACTGTTCCCCTCTGAGTATCTTCTCAGTAAGTGGAGCTCCTTTTCTCACCTTGAGCTTAATATGAAATCTTTTTGAACGTGAGAATTTTTTTTGTTGTTAGTGATGGTTATGGATTTGCTATAAATCTGTACTAAAGAATTCACCAGTTGCTAATATATTGTCATTACTAAAAGCAATATAAATAATAATATAGGAAGGCAACATCGCATAGTACTAAGAGCATGAATTTTGGACTCAGAAAGGCCTGGCCTTGAGTCCTGGGTCCATTATTACAAGATGCATGACCTGGACAAATTATTTAAATCCTCTCATCCTCAATATCGCACCCATCAAATGGGCTAATAATATCTATTACTGAAATTCAGTCTAAAGGGAGATTTGAATTAGATGTGAAAATGTGTATGCAAATCACATAAGTTCTTAGTAAACAGTCGCTATTAGTATTGTCATAAATTCACAGCTATTGTTTAATAACCAGGTTAAGATGATAAGGGCAATATCTTATATTCAAAGTAGAATGGGTTTCTAGTTCTCTACTTTGAACAAATGTGTTATATTTATTCTATCAAAACCTCAAACCAGTTGCATGTTTTTAATCTGTTCGTAAGCACTTGTCATGTTGGGTTTTGGAGAATTTAAAAGGAAAAACAGTCTTTTGAATAATATCAAGGATTGCACTTACAACCATGTCCTGTGTTTAGCACCTCCTCTGGTTCCATATAGGTCCATTACCCTTATTTTCAAAATGTAGTACAAAATGAATGAACTGGTATCCATGAATAGCTTATAGTTTTTCCTGTTCTTATTCAAACTGGAAGTCTATTGGATACATGAATAATTTTTTTAATTGACCAGAGAAATAGTTATTGATCCAGGTCAAATCTCTATGAGATTTTATAAATATACGTCCCAGCAAAGCAGTTCTCAAACTTAAATACTAGAGGCATAATATCAAGAAGACATTTTGCCACAAAATTTAAAAACAAATATCTTGATTGTGCAGCCTCCACATCTTAAGGTACTATTAATTTAGATTCCACAGTTTAGGATACTTAGACTCCCATCCACTAAAGAAGGCAAAAAACAGTCATTAAAAATAAAAAGCGTTCCCGAAGATGTGCAATTGATATCATCTGATGCTAAGGTAAAACCTTTGATACTTGTATTTCGATATGAGGTCTTGCTGTATAAAAAATTAAAACAAAACGTAGCAGTTTAAAACAACAAATTTATGAGACCCCCCAGGTTCTGTGGGCAGAAATCTGGGGGCAGTTTAGCTAGGTAATCCCGGCTCAAGAATCACTTCTCTTGAGATTGTAGCCAAGCTGTGGACCAGGGCTGCTGTCTCATCTGAAGGCTTGACTGGGAGAAGACCTGCTTCCAAGCTCATTCATAGGGCTATTTGTGGGCCTGGGATCCTCACTGGCCATTAACAGGGATTTCAGTTTTCCGCGTTGTGGGCCTCTCCATAGGTTACCTGAATGTCTTCAAGGACGTGGTAGCTGGTTTCCCCAGCAGTTTGTGAGGTCTTAGACTGAGGGCTGCTCTTCCTGGTCATGTGGGCCTCTCCATAAGACAGCTTCCAACATGACAACTAGCTTCCTCCAGAGCAAGTGAAGAGAGAGACAGAATGAGCCCAACCTTGAAGCCACAATCTTCTATAACCCAAGCTAGGAAGTGGCATGAGACTACTTCTCTGTATTCTATTGATCACATTGATAATTCTGGAACAATATGGGATGGGATGACACAAAGAAGTGAAGACCAGGAGGTGGGGATTATTGCAGGCCATTTTGGGGTCTGGCTACCACAATACCCAAGCAGTTAACAGCAGAACGAGCTGTTCTCTGCTTTAAGGTTGTGAGTCTTCTCTGGCTGAAAGAGGACAGACAGACCTCATGGTTGTGAGAAGGGTCTTGCTCAGAGCAAAATAAATGAAAAGATTTACAGTCATTTAAATATGAATCCACTCATGAAGATACTTACTGTAGTTATGTTTCTCCAAGGAAAATATGTTTTTCCTGTGGCTTTTCTACATAAGATGAGAGAAATTATAATTTGGAAAACTCTTCTTTCATCGCAAGACTCTTCTACATGGAATGAAGGCAAAAGTGATTTAGAAAACTCGACTTTCACCTGTAGTTACTTCAGTCTCCAAAAACGTTTACTCTGTGAATAAGTCTAGTCAGGGGCTAAATTTTCAAGAAAAATAACTTTGATTATAGAATTTTAAAGCTGGAAGCTATGCAGAGCCATGCCTTCCTTTTATAAACGAAGAAAGGGGGATCCTGATCGGTAACTGCCTTCCCAAGGGGACACTGAGACAGAGGTAGATTCAGAATGGAACTCTCAAAGGGATGCTATTTATATTTTTTAACCAGGAACAGTTCAGAATAAGAGTTTGCCCACATACCACACAGGCTTGTTTTAATTCATTCAGCAGATACTTAAGGAGACCTCTCTGTGCCAAGGAAAGGGGACATAAAATAGGACTTGGTTCTTGTCTTCAAGGAACTCATCTTCTCAAAGGGGAGAGGGAGGGACAATGTGTTGAGTGAGTGGAGCCCACGCATATGGCGCGTAACAGTTGGAACGGTGTCTGGAAGGTGATCAGTTGTGCTTTATTATCTGAGTAAGTGAGCCTTCTGAAGCTGAGTATCTGCAAGCCTACTTCATTCACTAGGCTATTGCTTCATCTTCCAAGTTATTTGGCAGAGTGGTAAACTTTTAGATAGAGTGAAGCCAGAGACTGCCACAAGCCCTGAGAATCTTGGCCTTTTCTTATAACTTAAACATTTGAGGTCTGGATTATTAACGATGCTTAAATTCAAATCTGACAGTTCGCAAACTCTTGCTGTATTTGTATATTCATTTATTAACCAAATAATCAATATCTACCATGTGCCAGGCACTGTGCTAGAGACTGATGATAGAGCAATAAATAACTCAGATGTGTGCCCAAGCAGGTTTTATGAAGCCCACAGTTTACTCCTCCCCTCCACTCTATAGAAATTGTCACTCCTCTTTTTGCATGACTGGAGCTTTATTTTCTAGTTCTTGCTGCCAAGGTTCTGCCTAATGCTACAAGGAAGTATAGACTTCAAAAGTTAACCAAAACACCTCTGGCTTCTAGAGGTGAAAGAAAATTCATGAAAGTATTTGGCGCCGTCAAGCTGGGTCTAGTAGAGCCAGCATTCCCTGAAGAAAACTTTTTGGGCTTTGTTTCCTTAACATAAAATATATAGGAGACGTTAGGCCTCCTAGTGGTGCCCCAAATTGGACTTTCATTTCCAGAATTATTCTGAGTCCAGAAATATCCAGAATGATCTGCATAATTATCCAGAGTCTGTGATAAGGACATTTTCTTTCTTCTCTGGCTTGCAAAAAACTGGCATTGGAAGGAAGGCTTGGATTACCTATAGGAAGAAACGGCTACTCATTTGTGTGTGTGTGTGTGTGTTTGTGTGCATGTGTGGTTCATTGAAACATTTAGGTTTTCCCAGCACTGGCTTGTAAATGGTTGAACAAACTAAACTCCAGTCAGGAGCAAACCATTTGTTTTCCATGAATACTTCCACTTCTTGTGACCTAGAGCCTTCCTTCAAATTCCATCTATTTAGGGAGAATTCGGGGACAATGGATTAATGGCATTAATATTTCCCTCTTCACCTCCTGGAGGGCTCACATTTTTCAGGAGAAGGTGACATCAGTGTGAAACTCACCCTTCTTAAGCTTTCAGCAACATGTCTCCTTATTTAAAGATTAGATTATCCTTCTCCCATTGTTTTCCATGAGATTTTGTTTCCTTTCTCCTTTTTGGGGAAGGCCAGCTCACTATTTTTAAAAGGTGATGGACCATGTCAGGATTTAGAAAGTGAAAGGAAAGAGATTGGTTTGGATTTTCTCTTTCTTTGTGTGCTCCAGAGCTCAATAAACTTCGAATGGTGACTGCAGGTATAGGGGGAAGGGAGCCTTTTGTATCCTTAGAAAACCTAGGTTTCAGTTGGATTATAGAGGTAGTCAAGGGATAGGGAAAAAAGTTCAAATAGCACTTTGACTACTTTCCACGTCAATGAATATGTATCAGCTACATTCCACAGCTATAAGAATCAGCATTTTTAAGTATTGATAAAAAAATTTTTTAAAGGACACAATGCAAGTTATCAAAAAATTGGATGAGTTTGGTGTAATGAAGACAGGCCTGGGTGCAGTTTATATTCAAGTTTATGGATTTTCCTGTATACTGAATAAATTGTCAAAATGGTACTACAATTCTATGTGAAAGAATCAGTCCAAACGGTTAATGTGCCTGATACATCTTTTTGTGATTTTTTAAAGACTCTAAGCAAAAGTTTTGAGCTCGTTTCAGCACTGCTGTATAGACTCATTGGGATTTGACTATATTCATTTATTTTGTAGATGTAACGTTCCCTTTCTTTAGAGCAATTTACAAAATAACACAGCATGCAGCATATCTAAAGCAAGTGGTAAAACCAAGACGTACAATTCTCATTGTGGTTTTATATAACATGAGGGAAAATCTGTAGTCTATGCTTAAAATACGAAACAAAGCGACAGTCATCAGTCAATATTTCTCCGAATACATGCCTTCCAATTTCTTTACCCAGTAAACATGTGTACGAAGAGCAGAGTTGCCTGGGGCCATTCAAGAGTTAAAATATTGCTTTATTAAAACTTTCCAGTTTCAACAACTTGACTCTTTGGGGGAGTTGGGGATTTGCGGGAGGAATGCGAATCAGGAAGTTAATAAACTTGAATGGACAGTCAGTCATGGAGCTCCTTCACCTCTTCACCAAGTTATTTTGCACTTTTCATTTCTGAGTACTTAGCCTATCGCTCTCTTCCCTCTACTAGATTAGTGCATATCAGAAATGACTGAGAAAAAAATAAAGTTATTATATGCATTAGAAATTGAAGACAATACAGCTACCCAAGGTTAAGGAATGACCGAATGAGGTTGGGCACTATCATTTTTCGTTGTGACTACTCTCCAATTTGGAGAAATAAATGCTGTGTAATAATCTATCATCAGACAGCCAGTGCTGCCCATCACTCTTTCTCTTCATGTCTTTTTATTCGGGTCCACATATGTATAAAGAGAGGATAAATTAATTAACAATGCATAATTACCAAACTCTCCAAACACACGCAGACTTTACCCAGAGAAAGCAAAAGTAGGCAGTACATTGCAAGTTGTTGGTGTAAGTGGTAGATGGACATCATCTATTGTCAATCTATTCCCATAGCAGGATTAAGTGAATTCAGATTCAAATGACGCATCCATAATACATTATCTAAAATGAAGCATTGTAAATTTCCTCATTGCAAAAATGGAATAATGCTTTCTACATAGGGTATTTGTCTGAACTATACTAACCCCAAGGGGCATTTAGATATCAAAAGATAATGAATTTAGAAAATACAGGATTTATATAACTTTAAAATTTTGTGATTGGGTATTTTTGTTATTTGGCTAGAGATATTAATTTAATTAAACGTACAAGTGGACTTTCTCCCAATACCCAAAGAAGACTATTTGCATTTTTAAAAATTATCACAGCTTGTTATATAATTGCAGCCCCCAGGGCTGGTTGCCTTTAACAATGGCCCTGGTTTTCTTCTCTCTACTGCTTCTCTAATGATAATACACTTTACCTTCAAAGTGTCCTGACGTACTGCTTTCTATAACTCACATCTTCCTATAAGAAGCAAGTTTGTTGGCTCATTAATACAAAACTTGCAGAGAGGGTTCCCTTTGTATCGATCTAATTAAATGTTTTTGAGTCAGGACAACAATAATAATGGGATTAATTATTGTAATTTGTGCAGCCGAGGTATATATATAAATAGGTAATCTTTATTTTTTCAGTACTGCCGATGGAAAATGAATTTCAGACATTAGGACCTGGGAGAGCCGGGAGCTACAGCTGCTGAGTGAGTGCCCCTCCCATGGTTCTGGCCAGCAGCCCCGACATCCTTGCACAAAGTAATCACAGATCACAGCATTTAATCACTGAAAACAAGCACTCCAGAGGACAGCAGTGTCAATATCCCACTCTCTCATTATCTGTTTGGATTGCACATCCACACTGTCAGATAAACAGAGTGGAAAATTAAGATTAAAAATATGGTAATTTCATTTCAGGCAGCAGGCACCACTCACTGCCCCTATTATGCTATTGATTACCTCTGAATTCAATTTTTCTTTCAATGCAAACTTTAATCTGTTTGCTACCCAGCAATTCAACTCCCCAAGGGCTATTTGAGAGTAAGTAACCATTTAATCTGATGCTAACTGAAAAATCACCGTCCTTAATGAATTGTGTAAATCATTCAGCTCTAAAGCACCTTTGACTTCTATTTCATTTTTTATTTTCTACTCAATATAGGAAAGGATCGGCGTGTGAATAATTACAAAGTAGCAAGTATTTTTACATAGAGCAAATATGATAAAAACCCTATTATAGTGGGGCATGTGTAATGAACAGTACTTTTTAATTTCAAAATAGCTATTCATTAAAAAAGAATGGAAGATTAAAAAGAGAGGCTCAAAGCTCAAGGTAAAAGTTGATAGACA